ACACAAACTAGTAGAAGGCAAAAAGTAAAGAGGAAAACAGTGAGTATGGAAGTAAAATAAAGAAATGTAAAAAGAAAGAGAAAATTACACATTGGAGGTAACTTCTGCATCAGTCCTATAAGTTCCTGATCCTGATTTAAAAGTTAAAAGATCAATAAGTATGTACACACATGCAGACAAGAATTTTTCTAAATAAACCTTAAAAAATCAAATTTTGAATCAGAAACCTGGAGGAAGTTATATACTGCATTAAATCTTCTGAGACAGTTTGACCTACTGGAGTGATATAATTATCAAAGATCCTTAAATAAAATATTCAAGAGTTTCTCGATTTGCAGAATCTTTTGAATGAGAAATGCATGCAAGACAAGAGTGGAGTTACAAACTGCATGGGGATATGAAGATTGGCATCATGTCATCACCTGCCCCATGGAATCCTACCCAGAATCAAAATTTTCAATGAAAACAGAACTTTAGAAGAGTTGAATATGAGCATTTAGTCATCACAATGTCCACTAATGTACAGATTTACAAAGACACACACAGAAAGCTCAATAATCCAGTAATTTTGTAGATTAGCCAAGACCTGATGTCCAGGTGTCATCAAATATCAGGACCCATTCAAGTGAAAAGGGAGTCAACACCTCTGCCCTTAAGTGGACTGTTCACAATGTTCTATGCAGCTTTGTTACCATTACTGATTTGTCAGCAAAAAGAAAAAGAGGATAAACAAAGGTGAAGCCCCTACCACAGTCTGTCTCATAGAAATACACTTCTACTTGTGGTGAAGAGCTCCACTAGCCCAGGCCTGAAAGAAATATGAAACGCAGCAAGAGATCCAAGCAGCTGCTCAATGGCGAGCTGAAGTGAGAGGCTGGAAGCAGGATGAGTGACAGAGATGATGTAAGGGCATGCAGGAGCCCAGCTTTCCACAGGTGATGCACAACTCTGGAGTCTGGAAAGAGAGGCAGATGGACCAAACCGATGAACACCCATCAGCAAGAAGTGCCGGCTCTGAGCAATGGTGTTGGGCAGGTTATGAGGTGGAGAGGCATTGTGGCATGCAGCGACAGGCCCTGCAAACTGTGGCTAGAGCCACAAACCAAAGGACAGTCTTCAAATGAATATGGTGACAAAAGAACCACTGATTGCTACATATCACTGGCTTCAGGAATGCCCAGACCCACAGAGAGCAGCACTGTCAGTATGGCTATTATTAATTTAAAGGTAAATGTTCAATAACTCCTTATGTTTATGAATGTAATTGTTTTACTACAAATGTATTCAAAATGGGATAACTATTTCAATGATATTAGACCCCCAAAATTCTTATTTTGAGAACAGCAGTAAATTCTAATATGAAAACTTCTTTTGGCATGTATAAGGCTGTTTTTACCACAGTGCTCTTGGTAATAGTTGTTTCAAGACTCCCATTTGTTTTTAAACTAATAGCATCTCTTCATCATTCTTGAGTTTGCTGCTGAGTTTACTGACATAGCATAAGAAATGATATTTGATTTATGAATAAGGACCAAATTAGGAAGTTGGAAAAGGTGTGTGCTAGGAGGTCAATATGCTGCCTTGGAGAGAGAAAACAGCAAGCATTTTAAAAAAGAAGAGCTGTAAAACAATGCAAGTTCCTTAGGGCAACTAGGAGCCTGGGAAGAGAATGTTGTGGTTATAACCAAATGCTGAAGGTTTTTTTAAAAAAAAGAAAATAAAGGACTTTTAGATATAAAATGCATTATCTTTGGCCTTACTTTTTCAGTAAGTTTTCCTGATATTTACTGAATTCAGTGAAAGAAATGGCCTAAATTATGGCATAAAATCTCTACATAGGGCAAACAAAGGAATATTTTGACTGAGCTGTTGAAAGCTCTTGAATAAGAATAGTTCACCAAGAGAAAATTTGGATATTAGTCAAACAGTAGGCATTCAATAAATATTTGCTGAATGATGAAACTGAGATAGACTAGATACAACTCAAGAGTAACACACAGACTGGGTCCTCATGAAAACCAAAGGCCATTCTGAATGCAAACTGACAAGCAGGGCTCAAGGAAGATGGGGTGTTCAGGTTCTCCCAAATGCGAAGGACTACACTATGACGTCTGTTTTCCTTCTTCTTTGATGAGAACATCTGGTCTTTCCAACGTCTGCCCCCTGAAAAGCCCAGAAAAAGGTACTCTATTGTTGGTTGACCACATTTCTTCATTTGGATAGGTCACCATGATGTGTTAATTTCACCCCGCCAAGTTTCTTTATGTCACTGCCAGGTTGGTTCTTGAGAATGGAACAGAATGAGCACTACACTGGTGTGGAAAATATTAGATATGGTATTTAAGGGATCACATACACCATGAAACAGTGTAAGCCTAGGTACTGGTGTCAGGTGGGACCACCAGCAGGAATGGCTGGGGCATGTGGCTGCCTGTGTGCCCTGGGAATATGCCTTAGCATAGGAGTGTGGCTATGGGATATGCCTTCAAGAACATGATGAAAGTATGGCATTTCACCCTGATAATCAGGCTGTACAGAGAAAGCATAGTGTTGGAAAGTATACATGTGGAAGAAAGACATGCAATTTTGTAGATAAGGTATGGTTTTGTAGAGAGGGCATAGATTTGATCAGGTTGTATGACTGATGGTCTTTGTGAGGTCCTAGATGTTAACTATGTAGGTGAATTCAGGTTCTAACAGTTGGACAACAAACATTCCCTATCAAATCACCCAGATCTACAGCAAATTTTGAGGTAAAGAGAAAAGAGCACATTCAAATGTAGAAATATATTAGGGTCTTTCTGAAGGCCTGTGCACTGATTAATAAGAGATTCTCACATAAGTGTATCACCAGCATTAAAAATACATTAAAAGCATTCAGAACAGTTTTATGTCCCCCTGTCTTACAGTGAGAACTATGGTCTGGGTGATCTTTCAAAGTATCTTCTAGTCTTAACATTCAACATTTAGAAAGCTAGCCACCAAAAAGCCATATGAATCTTAAAAGGAACACAGATGAGGCTTAGTGGGTTTTATCTATGACTCTGTGGCCACATTCACACTAGGAAAGTTAAGCAGAGACTTAAATAACTTATTTATTGTGTTCAAGGAAATAAACCAAAGCATTGTGGGTTCAGTTATCAACTGGACATTTCCTTTGATTTCAATATTATGCTTAATTCTCTAACATTTGGTGTGTTATAGACTCAGCATAACTGTTAAGTCAAATACTATGTCAATTTGTGGATTTTCATAGGCAAGATGAAACCCTTACCACTGTTGGATTTGAAGAGAAGAACTATTTTCTCAGAAGTGCTGATACTATTTCATTTCACCCCAAAATATTATAAATTATAAGGTAAGACTCACATGGGTCTGCCTATACATTTATATTTACATAGATCAATCCTAAACCAATACTTAGCATGGTGAAGAGTCAAATTCAGGTGAGAAAAACCACATATTAAAACCCTGCTTGTGATCATCAAGGAAGAAACATATTCCCAGGAAGATGAATTGTATAGACTAAGGCATTGGTATTCTCCTAGTTTCATACAATTATTTAGTGATTTAGCCTCTCCAGTGGATAATGCATAGGTTATTTCCTCATTTCGATTCTTGCTCAGGGGAAGGAGGTAAAAAATCATATAAAAATTTTACTTGGCTGAAAGAGCTAATGAACCCAAAATGCTTATAAAGATGATGTGTTCTGAATCACTGGGGAAGCTAAATGGCACATCTGCTTATTTGGTTTAAAAAAAAGAATATCTAATAGGACTGGTATCAATGATTCATAAAATTTGTTTAATTCAAACTTTAGCTCAGAGGCAAGAGTGCAATGAACAGACCTACTAAATAAAATCCCTGACACAGCTAAACACCTTTCTACTGCACAAAATAATGGCTGAGTCCCCCTAGCCAAGCTGGGTCAATGCACTAGTAATAGAAATAGAGCATACGCTTTAATAGTGCTGACGTTCTGTTCAACAAAGAGGAGACAGTCAGCAGAGGTGGGCTTGCCAGCTGGTGGTCTACAACTATATTTAGTCCCTAACTTGCCTATATGTCTCCTTGACCTGAGAATTTCCAGGTTCTCTAGTCCATGACACGAATACCATTTTCCAAAACCAGATTTTATTAATGCCACCTTTAGAATTAAAGCCTGTGGTGATACTATTAGGTAAATAATCTTTCCAGATAATGTTTAATTATCTAATGGATCATTTTTCTGAATGTTTAATACTTCTTTTTTTTTAATACTTGTGTTTTAAATATCCCTATTATTATTCCCTTTGGAATGGCTTCTAGACAAGTGGCCTATAGAGACTGTAGTTACAATGAATTACAAAAATGAGAATACAAAACTGCAAAAGAAATTGAAGCAAAATGAACATTTCTGTAACATCCACGAGACCAAAAGGAAGTAAGATAATTGCAAACGTGTGTCACAGGCACTGAGAAGATGTCTAGGGGTACGCTGGCAATGACTCACTTCGGTAGCCAAAAGAACCTGGGCAACCGAATTAAATGGAAGTCAAGAATGGATTAGAAGAGTACACAAAAACCTAGGAAAAAATGGTTGTCAAATGCAAAATTCCACTGAAACCCACCTGAGACCATTGAAACTTTAAAAAAAAGTATTGTCATATGCCATTCTTGACTGTAAGTTGTTTTCTAGGCATACACATACATCTTATATCTTCTGACTGACACATTTATAAATTGACATTATGTTTTCAAACTGTCATTACTACTTTACAATCACTATGCACTTGAATATACCATATATTGCCTATAGTTTAAAAACGAAGAGTATAATGTGAAAAGAATTGACAAAATCAATACATACAAACAAACAATAATGTACCTTCAAAAATAAAGTTAATTTTGTGTCTTTGGATAGGCCTATTTCATAAATTTATTAGTTATTTGAACCAATTTTTTTTCCCGATATACATGGAATTCTGAGTAAGGATTTTCCATTTCTGGTTTTATCATACCTTTCACATCTTCATCCTCAATTGTTGTATTTGAACTCTCAGTTGACTCCTGTGGAGAAGAAAACATTTGAAATTGTAAACAATGAATGGGTTGAACTTTTTCTTTTTAAAAAACTGGTGAGTGATGTACATATCATGCAAAATTCTTCAGCAGGCTGTGTGCATATGCTGACATGCAAATGGACAAATACATCACATGGTTTTAATAGAAATAAAATGACAGATGCTGCAAACATTTCAAAAAGGGAGTACTCTGGCTGCCTAATCCCTGAAGCAGGATAAATCTAGGTGATCTGTAGAAGCCAGTGACGTATGCAACTCATTTTATGAATTGTGTAAGGATGATTTTGTGTTATAGTGTCCCATAAGATGTGCTTTTTCTATGTATTTATGGGAAATTGAATATATTAACCTAATGAATTTGCACATTAAAATAGCACAATTTTTATACCAACTTAATCCATAAATAGTCTCTTCTTTGTATATGGTACTGTATCAAGCACTGAGTTCACACTTTGGTCAGACTTACTCCTTTGTAGAGAGGGAAAGCGTTTCATTGCATCAGCTGAGGAAGCTAAGGGTACCAAGCTGTGATACGCTGAAAGTGCTTGTTAAGAAGAATTTCTATGTGATCACCACAATGGAATTATATGAATACTTTCAAGGACAATTAGATTTTTTTCATTCCTAAGTTAGAAACTGGCTTTCATAAGAAACGCACTTCCACAGAGAAAAGACAAGGCTATTTCTTTGTAAAACTACAAATGAAGTTAAATAAGCACACTTAAAAGGACACTGTAACTGCCAGTATTAAGGTATGTTCTTTAGAATAGTTTGACAAATTTTTCCATTAATAATGTAATAATAAATATTTTCTAGCAAAGATTTAGTAATCTTCATAAGAAGGTCACCATTTTCTACTTGGAATGATTAATGGGTAGAGCTGAAAAAAACTAGGAAACAAACTTCCAATCAATGGCATGCTCACTGATAAAAAGCAGATTTTGGGAAATGATACAAACAACGGTCAGTGTCCTTTTAGAGATTCTATATTCAAAAAAGCTATCAATTTATATAAATACTATGTATAATATTTAAACCAAAGGGATAGACTGAAGATGTATCCAGAGTCTCCATACACACAAAACCAAAGCAAAGAGTCCTCATGCGTTTCTTAATGTGTCCTAGTGTTCAAATTTTAGCTCAAGATGAAGGTAAACCCATGCACTGTAAAAATAAACTAATTGATGTAAGCAAGAATATCATGCAGCCATGCTTACAAATGATACAGCTAGAACTATCCAAGTGTCCACTCCAGCTGTTATGCCTGGTCTTTCATTTGCTAATGACATTGAAAAAAGCTGGTCTCTATGTGGTGCTTCTGACTACAAGTCTTTTAGGGACTTAGCATTTTAAGTGCCATGACCATAAAATACATCTCATATTAAAGAACATACCACTTCATGTTTTTTACTTTAATTATTTTAATATTGATCAACTAAATGTTAAACCAGAGGACATGTGTTTTCTAAGATTTAAATATTATTGGTAAGAGTAAGGGAAAGACCCATTACTATATTTAATATTTGAGAAAAATCTGAGAAGTACTTTTCCCTCCCCTTAGAGATGCAATCATGTATGAAAAGTAATACACTGGAAACATGGAATACATTCCAAAAACGTCTCCTTTTCTCCTACAGACATGTGTAAAAGTACTGTTACTTAGTTAACATGCTGTGCAAACACAATTTACAATAGATAGGAAAGATTACAGTCTTCTTTCAGCATAAGTAGTTAAATGTCTGTTACTGAAATGCATATAATTCAACAAAAACAAATATATTTCACAAGAAATGAAACTCCCTGCTTCTCCTCAAATTCATGCCAAACAACAAAAAATACTACCACCACAGGGAATTAAAAACAAAACAAAATAAAACAAAAACACTATGACAACAGAATAAATAAAACTAAAAAGTAACATTAAATTTAAACAAATACCTATGAACTCAAGCTGATTTTTTTGAAGACAGTGGAATCACAGGGCAAGAAATTCTAACATTTCATGCAGAATACATCTAAAGTACAATACACAGACAGGCATGGGGGGAAAAAAAAGCCAGATGGAATTGCTTAATATACACAGTCATCTTGACACAAAGACTTTATTTAACCCGACTTTTGTTGACTAATGGTATTATTTATTTCTCTTTCAAGATGTCATTCATTTTTGTTTTGAAAGAAATATGTGTACAGCGCTAGATAAATTAGGCCCAAAAGGAAGTGGTTGAAAAAGGGTAAGGGTTTTCTTTCCTATTTTTAGATATTGGATGAATTTTGCTTTGAATATTTGATAAGATGTGTACTCTTGTTAAAGCAAGATGATGTTGATTCTTTCTGAATACCTTGTTTCCATCAGGGTTGTGGATTACAGTAGTTTGGGGCTCCTGAGTGAGAACAAAATAGAGAAAGAAACAGTTCGCATTGGTAAGTACATTCTTACTAGTGTGAGGGACAGAGCAGAGTGAGCCAGCTGACAAAACTAAATAATGACAAGAGCGTAAGCGATGTTAACTACTGTCAGGGGTAGCAGCTGACAAGATCTCTGATGAAAGATCTCCCTGGTGAGCTCATGAGATAGGATACCTCAGCACTCAGCAGCAGCATGCAAAAGACCTTATTCTTGATGAGCATACAGACAAGGCTTTGAAGTCTGGAGACCTAAAGAGGCACTCACTGTTTCACCATCCTATACCAGATAGAGCTTTCCTTTCTTCCTGAATGTGTAGCCTGTTCATGTCTGTTACATAGAAACTGGCCAACAATACTGGAAATTAGAACTCTGAGATGATCTCACATTGTCTGTGAAGATTTTTTTCAGCTATATTGCTTTGAGAGTTTATTATGGTATCATCACTATAATTAATAATAAATACCCTTGGAAATTCTAGAACCATTGGGTGACACTTAAAAAGACCTATGCTAAAGAATGTATTTTAAAAACCCACAAGAAATTCTAAGGAACATGTAAAAGGTTCACGTAGTGGGTTCCAGCCCTAACCATATAATCATATAATTTGAAACATTTTGTTAAATCCCATGTTAGTTGGTATCTAAGAGAAATTTCTGTTTTATGAACTATATGTACAGAAGATTTGCTTGTAAAGCCATGTTTTTCCATGAAGAAAATACTACTTTTCTTTTTGTTTTCTACCAGAAAATTGAAGAAATATTCCCAAGTGGAAAGTTACACTCAAATAACTGATTCAAAAAAAAGATTCAGTGCCCATCATCATTGGCCTGCTTGGCACTTTCATGATGTCTTGGTAACTGGGAGTTACTGTAACCCTTTGAGAGCTCTCTCCGACCGTAAACACGCTCCCACATCCAGGTTCTCTCCACCACAGTTAATGCTGCAATACTTAGAGAACACATTTTCTGCTCCCCTTCTTTTCCCTGGCTGCAGGTGTGGTTAACATTGTTTTTACTAGTAGATAACTTGCTATATTGTGTTCTTCCTTTAAATGTTTTTAAATTGAGCCTTTTGCTTAACCCAGTTGAAATAATCCCCTGATATTTTTGATTCTCCTAAGTAACAGCACAGAGGACATAAAGAAATGAGAAACATTTATGAAAATAAAAAAAATCAAAATATGGAATAGTTTGGGGAAAATGTTATGGAATTCAAAGCACTGAATGCCAGAATTTAAATCTCAAATTGTAATATTAGACTGATTTAGTTGTTAGTATGAATTTGACCGAAATGGGTAAAACTGGTTTCACTGATAATTCAAAGCTCTATGCAATAAAATTTCATTCTTCAGGTTAAAGTGAAACTGTGATAATTTAATTTAAAACACAACAAACGAAAAGCTTTAAATTATCCAGTGCCTCTTTATCTCAGAAAGCGAGGTCTTACAAAGCCCTGCTGTCTCTTAATAAGAGGGAAATGGGAACTGTGAATAAGGTCTAATTTACTGTCGTCTAGCAGTAATCAATCCCCTTAGCTCTCCTTGATGTCAGCATTTGTGTCATGAAAGGAGGAAACATTGTTCGCATAATCTAGAACTGCCATCAGAAGAAGAGCTAAGAACATCCAAAGCACATTCTACTGTATTTCTAAGGCAGCATGCAACAATTTCAACTAGAGACCACAGCTATCAGTACAATATTCAATAATGAAGTAAGATCATCTCATGTTAGAAACACACTGCTTGACAACTACCTTAACATAAAAGAAAAAAAATGAGATTCTTTTCATATCTTAGAAAGCAAAAACAAAAACAAAACCCAACAAAATAAAATATTTACATATATATATGTATCAATATAGTGAAAGCAAATGAGAGAAACAACAAAAAACAGTAAAGAACTTAAGGGTTACAGAGAGTCCAGGTATACCAGCGCCGGGGTGGGGATATTTTCTTTGGGGCTGGTTACCACGTTGGCTTTGTTGTTTATCTGTAGGTATGCAGAAAATAGAAACAGAGACGCCTTAAACCCCTTGGTAGCCAATGTCTCTATATGCAGCATGTCTACATGGAGATATAGACATGAAAATAAAAAGCCACTGAGGATGAACACGGAAGACACTGTGATGACTGACAGATGATGATCAATTCTAGCGTCTGATGGTCACACAGGCTAGGACAGTCTGTGATGGTGGGATGACAAAACAGGCTTGGCTGCTTTGACTGGGCCACCTTAGCAAACAAAGAACTGCTTCAGTGGAGTGCAAATCAAGTTTCAGAGTATGAAATCAATATAAACATTTTCATACTCTTCAAGTTGGATTCTGTTTCCCAGCTTCCAATTGTTTACTGTTATGAACACATTCTTTTTTTTTCCATTTTATTCTTGAGCCTGAAGTCACACATAGACTGTCTTTATCTGGGGTGCCATCATCACTTTGTTTAGTAGGTATCCAATTGATAAGTTGTATCTTCTGATGAAATGCAGGCTTTATAATATATATTTTTAAATGATAAGTCTGGGTCTCCTTTAAAATATACATCTTCAATTATAAATGGGCAAATTGAACTCTTTACCATATTCTGAATGTAAAAAGACTATTTTTAAATTATTTGAGAGGAAAACACTATGTTTTCTGTTAAAGTGTTGAAGTCTTTGGAGACTATTATTTGGTAATATCATTCCTTCTTTTAACATAACGGGATTTGACCTTTAAGAAGAGATCATTATCACTATGGAAGCCACATTGTAAAAGCCACTCAGAAGGTCAGTTAAGTATTGTAATGGGCCCACAGAGAAGATTCCTTGTAGACAAGTAGCAGCTGGAAGCTACAAGTGAGTTTAGGCACTAAAGAATCAAAGACTTAAAAAGTAATAATCAGCACTCATTTAAACTCATGCATGACAACTTACATTATGGTTATCAAACAAATAAATTAACATTCATTTTCTTGCACTTTATTACCTAGGTATTTTCTTTACATATTATTACCTAAAGGAATACATCCCATAATTTTGGTGTAAATGTATGTAAGGACTTAAGAGAAAAACATACTGCATAAAATAAATAAATACCAAATGAGTATTTATGAGTAATTATGCCAATTTAATTGTTTGGACTTGCCGGGAATTTTTTTCTTCTTTTTTGTATTTTATACCTATAGATCATACTGAAACTAGCACTGAGAGGAAGATAGGTTAAAGAAATTAATTTAGGTATGTAATAGTTTGATTTTCTATTCATTCATATTTATGATTATTTGGTGTCAGAATTATTTAAATAAGCTGTAACACTGTGCTCTGTGATATGCAAGAAAAGAGAGAAAACTTTGGTGTCCTTTTTAAATGTTAAACCATCTATCTATATTTTGCAAATAGTTTGTTTAAAAATTTTCTTTAAATAAAAGTGCATAAAGTTTAACATAAAATTTGTGCAAAGCCAAAAAAGAGGTAAGAGATACTGGAGTCTCTTAAAGAGGGATCAAAAATCAGTACTTATGTTAGTATAAAATACATAAGAAGAGAGGAGAGACGTAACACAAATAATTTCCTGTCAGGAAGGGTGCTTGGCAAAACACAGCTGACTTCTTATCAAAGTACCACATGTATTTAACATGTTATATTCAGTGAATACCAGTGGATGCAAAGATAAAAAGAGTATACTGAGATACTTTGGTTTCTGTTTTGAGGTAAGAGACCTGATTTTTTCTAGGATATGGTTGCTAAGTACTGCTTTTAGTGAGAATGTCTCATGTACACACCTATGCATGCATACTTATATGCAAGCATGTGCACACACACACACAGCACACACCCATACACACACATTCACATACAGATACACAGCATACACACACCATTGTGTCTTACAGTTGAAGGCCACTCTGCCTGGAGGAGTCATCCTTTATTGTCAGGTATGGTAAATATGAGTTAAATGAACATGTGCCTCAATTACCATTTGTCGTCTTGTTTAAATGTGCAGTTAGGATTTTTTTGTTAATGTAAAGATTGGCTTGATGATCTTTTTTGTTTTACTATGGGAAACCTTTTGAAGATATTTTTAATGTTAATTAATAGAAAAATAATAGGAAAATTTCTAAATAAAAGACCAAGAGGATATCCTTTTAATGAGTCAAATATCAAGTATGGGCTCCTACTTGGTGATACCATTTTTAAACACACAAAGACTCTGGCACTTTGTGTAATGTACTTATTTTATATTATAGAATCAGAGCATCCTGCTTTAAAAAAACTGAATCAAGCCAAATACTAAATGGTGCACTGGATTATTATGAGCTATGGGCAAGATACTCCTATTTCTCAGGTGTTGTGTTTATTTAGTTTTGAGGTTAATAAATATTTCCTCTAAATAAATATTTCAAGGCTTGTTGCCTAACTAGAATGGGTATATTTTGAGAACTAAGAATCTTGCCTATTTTAGTAATCATGATTATAATTTTAAAACAATCCTATTTTGTTTCTTCACTTATAAGTAAACAGACATTAATTATGTCATGGTCTTATGAGCTTCAAGAGAAAACTGGGCTTTGTCCTTGCAAAAGATCCTTTAATACATACAGACAAAGGTATGAACTTTTCACATATTTAAAAAATTCATTTTCAGAGAAAGATAATATATTATGTGAAATTGGGTATTGGGTTTTGATAGTTAATTGACATCAAGCTATTATGGTCCTATACTTTCTCCACTTATACTAATTTAGGTAAATAAGACTTTCATTCCTAAGAGAATTTCACAGGAGGAGAAATCTGGCAGATAGAGATCCTCACCATCATCTGAACACTCGAACTGGACTTCCTTTTCTGAATTGACCAGTCAAAGAGAAAGGAAAAGAAAAAAATATGACCGGTTGAATTTTTAAAGTATCAAAGCATGGAGCACAGAATAATTTTCTCTTTAAAGTGGAGCTATAAGTTGACTAGAAGAAAAAAGTTCTGGAAATGTTTCTTTCTATATAAGGATAGTAGTGAAAATAAATATCAACAGGGGCTGTGAGCTCTGCATCACTGAATGGTACAGAAAAACACAGGAGAATATAACATTTGGAAAATTTAAGATACTACATTTCCACCAATGTCATATTGGTAAGAAGGGAGACATCAACTTTCAGTATTTAAACTTAAGCTGAACAAACTAAGCAAAAGGAAAAGAACATTACGGTTGAGGAAAGCAGTTGGTAGTAAATGCCATCCTAACGGGAATCACAAATGCATATTGTCACCATTGCTCTGGGAATTCCCAAATCGCACACAGACAGGTGGTGAAGAAATGACTGGGCAAGAACATAAGAAATGACAAATGATTATCTGTTATATTTTCAAAATGAACTGACCACATGACTTTGGGTCAAGTTCAAATGCTAGAATATTAACTAATTCCCAAGAATGGTGAAGTGTTCATGAGGAATGTATACATCTGGCATTGGAAGAGAAAGAAAAGAATTAAAGAAATAAAACATTTAGGTAATACTCTGGAAAGATAACAAATGTAATGCAAATATAAGATAACAAACATTCAATCAAAGGTAAATTGGATGAATTTCAAAGGTAAACCATGAAACACAATAGAATCCATAGTAAGTTGTATTATTTTGTTTAGAAATCCAAGGAAATCAAAATATCCTGCTGTTATCTTTCTTGGAAAATTTTTCTAACATTTCTTCAGAATATTCACCTTCAGTATGTCTCAATACCTTATGATAGAAACACAGGAACAATTAAGACCTTTATAAAAAGTGCCCAAGCAGAGACATTTAATCATTTGATATTTGATTTCCTAAATTCAATGGTTCGATTTTTTTTTCAGGCTATACACTTCAGAAGCCTCCAAGAACACAGCATAACTATTTAGAAAAGCATTTGGTTATCATAGATTTTCAGGACATTGTGATAGTTTGAGAATGCAGTAAAGCAGAGAGGGTTTAGACATTCATTTCTATAGTAACTCCAATGAAAAGTATTGTTTTGTCGTGGTTATTTAATATATAATAAAATGGAAAAATACAGCTTTTCTTGACATAAATGTTAGTCATCTTCATTTAGTAAATTATTTTATACTTCAACCTGCATCCTTTATAGAAACTATAAAAAAATACAAGCTGCAAAGACTTAGGAATTATATTTAACACTTAAATATTACCTAGCATCTGAAAGTTAGAAATGATTCTAAGAGCACCTGTTTAACTTACCTTTACTCCATCTGGTTTCTTCAGCAAACTCTTGGCTGCTGCAAAATGAGAGTAAAGTCATTTTAGTGAGTCATACATAGAAACCCGGGTCCAGGCAACAAAACAGGGTATTGTTTCCTTCCAGCACCTTTACTGGGTTATACCCAGCATATGCCAAGTTATAAGGTCACACGATGAGCACAAGCTTACAGGACACTGAAACACAGTATCGCTTTTCTTGGTTTTGCCATATCAAATTCAGAACTAAATTATTATTTAGTTCACTGCATGTAACTGGACACTTTGCCAGTTATGTCATTTGGACTTTATTTCACTATTGGTTGTGAAAAGGATACTGGAACTTTAACTGGACTATGCTTTTGTAATCCAGAAAGTTGATTTCATTCTTTAGACATCAGCTTACAGACTGTATTACATGTTCATTCACACCACAACTATGGCGACCATGTCAGTTCTGCCACTTAAGCCCCTCTTTCTAGATGTTTAAAATTTATTTGTGAAAATTTGCTCTGGCTAAATAACATCTTTCTTTGAACATATGTTTTTGAAATTAGATCTTTCATTTTTATAAGAATATTAATAACTGCATTTAAAATGAAATAGCATATTATTGACCTAGAGCAAATTTTTTAAATGCTTAGCATACAACCTTTAAAAAAAGGGTATTAATGTATTCTTTAATACTTCAACATCAGAATACAAAGGTAAGCCTTTTACACTTGAAAAGTTAAAAACTGTAAAATTTGAGGCAAACTATAAGACAAAATGAAATCTTCAACTAAATCAGAGAACTAAAGTTTATGGTCATATATGAAACTTCATTTTCTTGAAGAGGAGCTTTTAGCATTCCTTCTATTACTAAATTTCTTGAGTACATTAAAAGGTAAAGTCATCCTTTCAAAAAATATACTTATGAATGGGTACAACACATTGAACAGATTATATAACTGCCAATGACAATTAGTACACCAGGTTTAGAACATTCATGAATATGTGGGACAAAGTATACTTATGCTTTTATTGAATGTTAATTATATATATAATTATTTAAGTATAACAGAAGAGAATTTGGGTCATGAAATGAAAATACCTAGCTGTAATAGAACTGCATGAACATGTAATTTCCTGACATCTTTTGATTTGGAATATTATTTTGGTATCACTTTGGTATAATTTTAAATTTATTTAAAAGATACACAAAGGTTAATTTTATTTAGTCTTTAGCAACAAAGCTATTAATTTATTATTAATTGAGATTGTAAGAAACAGTTGTCTTAGCTGTGATATATAATTTGCTTGGAGCTAAAAAGCAATGTTAAATAAGTCCTGTGGCAGTTAATAGGTTAGAAGCAAACTCAGAATAAACTGGAATTGCAATAGCAAGCAAAGAGAAGACAATGATTCAGGGGAAGCAGGGATTTGGCCTGGGAGATGCAGAAATGTCCCTTTTGGTTGCTATTCACCTTACCTCACAAGAAATACATTCCACATAAAGGGAGAAAAGAAAAAAATAAATAAAAACAACTTTATAACCATATACTTATGGACAAATTACTTTAAAGAGCATGTTTGGCAATGAAACAGAATGAATAAAATACTCAAAACTAAAAATGCAGTATCTTAAGTACTTAAGTTGGCTTAAAGTGATGGATTAAAAATAAATGGGCCTTTCATGCTAAGACATTCAGAAACAATATAAAATTCACATATTAGTCATGAGTTTTTAGTTTACACAATGACGAAAAGGAAAATGTGAGGTAAATGAAAAGCTTTTACACATGGTGCATATATTAAACAAGGCCCAATTTATGTCTAAGAGTGTATTTAAGATTCTAACAAAATACACAATCTTAACTTCTGGAGATTTCTTTTCGAGTTGGTTTGCATTAAGAGTATATAATATATAAATTATCCTGCCTTTTAAGTGATTCACTAATTATTGGGCCACAGTGAAACATTAATTTATTTGGGTATAGGATATATTAGTTAATATTTAATGAGATGATACTGAACCCACCCATATAAATGTTAACTATATTAATCAACTGTTCATAAAACATGTGACTTGACAAAGGTAGTAACAAGGTTTTATTACACCAAACAAACTGGACAAAATACATACAATTGACTGACACAGTCCCTCGATTTGTAATGTTACTCAGTGTATTATTGTTGCTTTTTAACAGGTCAGTGGAAGACTTTGGGAAGACTCCTGTGGTTTCACGTTATCTATAACTAAATATGATGAGGAACAGAAGGTGACCACTTAATACAATCATGAACAGGAATTAGAAATTGGTGGAAAATTTGATAATGGTGTGGATCATCACCTGATATCATTGCAGAACCCAGGGTGAGTATGTACAGGGTTAAAGAACTGAATGAAAAGCTAGATAATCTGAGGCTACAGACCACTCCTGATATAAACATTCGGCCAAGTAAATGGGAGTATTTTGGCACTGTTGTTTGACAACAGTTCCAAGTCTTACACAGCCAAACAGTCACTACTTTGGTCCGTCCCCATTCATAAGACTGATTAGCATTTACCAAAATTTGACTTGTGGAAACCTCATCTTTTGAGATAATCTAATAAAGAAGGGGGTTACAAAACTAAAATAATTACTATAAATAATATATAGTTTATATCTATTGTGGAGAGTTACTTCCTACAATAAAGAACTGGTTTAGCTTCTTTTAGCCCATTATTTAACAAACTTATTTTTACATGGAATCATTTTTAGAATGTTTGTTATCCTATGATATTACTGTGAGGTAAGTTCCCTGTCAGTACTCGAGTTTAGATACCTTTGAAAGTTGTAATCATTTTTATAGAATGCCAACATACTACTGTACTTTTAAAAGAACTCAGGCCGGAGAGAACTGGCTTCCTCAGTGATGGTCTTCTTTTAAAAAGCTTGCTTATCAGGATTCCCCATGAGAATGAGACCCCAAAAAACCTTATTTATTGTTACTACTTTGTGAAATACCAATTAATTAATTCTAGGTTCAAAATGCTGAGCTTCAAAATGAGGGAGTACATATTTCCACAACTTGTGTGCACCCAGCAGGGATGAAATGGCCTTCAAATCCTTCACTAGCTCTGACCAGCGGGGTTTGCCTGGTGCCCTCGTGGAGAGCGCAGTCTTGTGCCTACTGCTAGTCTCCTCAGACAGCACCCAGGTGGAACCCTAATGACAGCCGGGGGTGTGGAAGGAATTCAGGCCACACATTTGCCATCCCTAAACAACAATGTTTTTTCTAGTAAATGGATTTTTTTTTCACTTCAAGACTACTAAAAAGGAGAGCAGAGGATAAGTGACAGAGTTCTTAACACATGTACCTGAAAAATTCCTTGTAGCCAGCATAGTTGTCAAGATGGCACCCTGTCGGAGAAGTAGGAATAGAAAGTTAATGCTGCCTCTGCAAATCTGTGACTTAGCAGATCAGCAGTCTTTGATAACAAATCTTCTACTAGCCTTACTTTCAGTCAAGAGATTTTTGTTTGTTTGGCTTTGGTTTTGGGGTTCTTGGGAGAAGTAGGTCTATGTCTCTCACAATGCCAGGCTCATCCTCATGTGTGCCGCCAGATTCCAACTGCCAAATTGCATAGCTATTTTCCACTGAAGGAAGGAACCTCAGCAATCCTAGCTCTTCGTCACAGGTTTAATTCCAGTGAATATTCCATTCTCCCAAGACCCAAAGGAAAAATAAGTATTGAGGTCTGTACATTTAAAAGCCTTTGCTAAAAGTTATCTTCATCAGACTTACAATCTTACTTCTTACTCTGTCAAGTCTACCCATCCCAAAATGTAAAATTTCTTACCTTTAGTTTTCTTCTAGCATTAAATTTCTTCAAGCAGTCTACAGTCTCCTGTCTGTGCATCATAGAAGCAACAGTAGAACGTTGCTGGAAGAGGAGAAAAAGAAACTTAAGTGAGGCTGTTTAGAAAAAATGAAGCATAATAGTATCCTCAATGTCATCAAATCTTTATAAATGGTGCCTGCACCCATGTGATTGACTTTGTAAGTATCCAATTGCAAATGTTCCCTAATAATGAAAGACTGATTTGCCAAGACTATTAATGACTAAGACACAACTTTTATCTACAGAAACTATTGAAATGAGTATCAGTAATTTCCCAAGTTATCTTTATTTCAGTATATTGTATTTCCATTGAGATATCTTTTATTTTCTTAGCACTATATTCGTTGTGCAAACATTTGACACATCCCTAGAAATTTACTGATTTCTATCTACAGTCCACCCATCTTTCACACTGTTTTTCTAAGTACAGATAAATTATATTCAGTATACTATGAGCATTCTTTTCTTCTAGTAAAACTTTACTTCTAGCTTCCAAAACTCATATTTTTTCTAAAGCTGCCTAGTGATAAATAATTGAACTTTGTTTAATCTTTTTTTCTGAGATACACTTAATCATGGTGTCATTTTCTTAACCTTTGTTCACGTATGTTATCAGTAATTGGTAGGAGAATACTCATTCCTCGTGTTACGGTAGGCAGTATTTATTTAGCAATCTATGTAAATCAGATTTTGCTACTGAAATAGCATTTCTCACCATTGTGAAATTTATTTTGTTAAATACCTTGAATCAAAAATTCATTCTGAGTTTCATCTTTTTCTGCAAAAATTATTTTAAATCCATGAAAATAATTTTCAAGGACAATATATTTTTCATTTTAGCTCTTGGAGGTTTTTGGAAAACTGTCACTTACACAGATCCATGGGTGTTTCAGTGCCTCTGAGGCTGTGATACGCTTGGCAGGGTTGATAGTAAGCATTTTGTTGATGAGGTCTTTGGCTTCAGGAGTTACTGTGTCCCACTCTGGTGATGGGAACTTTGAAAATATAAATTTATAAAGAGCTTAAAACATAGATACATTCTATTGAACAAGAAAGAGATAAATACACTGTTTTTTTCAGTAGTGAATTTTAACATATATTTTTTGTATAAGTTATATTGTATCTACACAAAGATAATCAATTTAGACATATATATATTTCCTTCTCTCTCTAGTATATAGTTATATCTAGTAGTTAGAAAATGGGCAGTTTGTAACTCATTGACAAACTGAAACATGAGGAAAATTATACTGATTCTTTAATACTTGTGATTTGTGAATTTAACAACTGTCATTTTAATTCCAGAAGTTTATTTTGGGGCAGTTGTAAAAACTTGCTAATGACTAGAACTACCGAAGAAACACTTAAACCTGCCTCTTAATATGAGGGCCTCTTCAGCCTGGATAAAAGTGGACCTGTTTCTTATTTTCTGGTTTTCACAAAGGCTCTCCTTCACAATTCAATAAGCAGGGCATCTGCAGAGTTCTGTTCTCCCAGAGGGGTGCGAGTTCTAGTCTGTAAAGATGGTGAATGTGCTAGTTGTGGCCACATCAGTCATAATCTCGTCTAATTATTAGTCTGGCTAAAGTGGAGTGCTTCAAAATTAAAATGATAGACATTTTAAATTCTTATGATACACATCCATATAAGTAGTACATTTTAACAGAAATGCATTGATGAATTTATGAAACCTGATATGATATAATACAGACTTTTGTTTAGTTTCTAACAAGTTAAAAGCTTGTTCACAACAGGTGGCCCCAATGTTGTCTACTACACTTAATAATACATGGAAAGCCATCTCCAGACCTCTTACTCTGACTTGCAGAGGGCTGCGTAACACCAGAGGTGGCAGTAAATCATATTTACAGACATTTCTGTCAAAGGACACAAAATTATGTCAATAAGCATAGAGTTAAACCATGAAAAGGCCTTACTCTTCAGATTCAGAACTTAATTCATACGCCTACTTCCAAATACTCAAATTGTAAATGAAATGTATTAGAACTGTGATTTTTCAAATACTTTTCAATTGTGAAACCCATTCTTCACATGAAAGCTTGCCATGAAGCCCATAAGGTAAACAAGACAAAAAAGTCAAAATTAACATAATGGGGTGGTCTACTTGATACATGGATCATTGCAAAGTACTGTTGGCATAAAATTTAAAATTATGTGATAAGTTTCCAGGAATATAATTCAACTAAACAGGCAGCAATAATTTCTAAAGCAAAAATACTTCAATTTTTATGTTTTAAAAATGCACTAAGATCCAAAAATTCTGACAAGCAAGATCCTTCCTTAGAGATTCCAAACTGTTTTGCTTTTAATCTTAGGAGATAGTGAGCTAAAAGAAAACAAAAGCTAAACATATATGTTGCATTTCTTACTCTGTATCTCTCTTTCTCTGAGAGAAGAAAATAATAAGGGAAATTGGTGAAAATTACAGTTAAAAAAGCAATTGAAAAAATCTAGTTCTTGGTCAGTAACAAAAACCAAACTCTTGTCTAAAGTTATTTTAACATTTATTACATACATCATAAGCTCCAGCCTTGATTTGCTGATAGAGCCTGTGTTGGTCTTCATCCCAGAAGGGTGGATACCCCACCAGTAGAATATAGAGAATGACACCTGTAGGGAATGAGCATTTTTAACAGAACGTTAAGTCATATAGATAATAGTAAATTAAATGTGGCAGATCCATAATGATACTAAGTTGCATCCATTCCAAGGGAGGATTCTGGACTGTTGGAAAGCTTCTAAAAGACTTGTTCTGCTATGCTCTCAAGATTCTGTGGAGAGGGAATGCTCCTCCCATGCTCAAACACAGATAACATGTGGCAGTCCAACACACAAATGAAATAATTCTCAAGGGGTAATGCCTAAAGATGAAACTTGCCTGGAATTCTTTGGCAGTCTTGAAATCTTGCCTGTATGTGCTCTCCCTGCACTCTTGTCTATTCAGATACTGTGTGATTTTGGTCACTTTGCAGGTTGACATTTAAAAATTTAACATGTTATTTATTTCCTCTTAGTCATTTTGCTGCTAATTAGGACATTTTGTTGAGCGATGGTGCCCTGGTTATGAATTCATGCTCTAAATAGCCATGGTCCCTGGGAGTGTGGATAACCTATAAGATGAAAAATCCTTTTCTCTTTAGTGATCTTAGTCGTTAAAAATAGAGTTTTTCAATAAAACAACTAAACCAGGGACACTACAGAAGAACATTCCAGGAGAGGGAAAAGAAAGAGGACAGTGAAACTACACAAAATTCAAAGAAGTAAATCCTCAGCTGTATGTAATTCAACATTTTTCATAAACACCTAATTATTCACAGAACAATTTAATCAGCATGTGATTTAACTTCTATGTTAAAAAACTATTGTATTCACAGGCTTTAAGGTACCCCTAAATCATATCTGGGGTTTCAATGTTTCCTGAAATTGCACTCTTTATCATATGTTCCTCCCTTTAATTTTTTTTATGGAGTCAAAATCATTGATATATCTGAATTCATGACTGAAATACCAACTTATGATATGATTCTTTAATCTTAATTTTTATATCAAGGAAAGATATTAACTCTATCACAGGCTAATGGTCCCTTGGTTAAAAGAGAGCTTGTTTCACCAAGAGTCAGGATTATCTTATTGTTTGCACAAGAGAATGTTTTTGGTTTTTAATATATTAATGCATTTATTATATTTATTAAACAATGCTATTTAATATATTTATACCTCATTTATCCATTTCTCCCACTCCCCATCCCCACAACTCTCTCAACCACCAATCTGTTCTCTGTATCTACTACATTTTTTTTCTTTTAAAGAATCCACATGTAAGAGAGAGCATATGGTATTTACCTTTCTCCCACTTATTTCATCTAGCAAAATGCCCTCAAGGTCCATCCATGTTGTCACAAATGGCAAAGTTTCATTCTTTTCTGTGGCTGAATAATATTTGATTGTGTGCATATCTATGTATGTGTGTGTATATATATATACACACACACACACACACACACACACACACACACACATGCAATCTTCATTCATACACTGATGGACACATTAGGTTTTTTTCTGTATCTTGCCTATTGTAAATAATGCTGCAGTGAACATATAGGCATACATATCTTTTCAAGTCAGTGTTTTCATTTTCTTTGGAAAAATACTCAGAGGTTGAATTGGCAGATCACATGGTAATTCTATTTTAAGTTTTTTAGGAACCCCCATACTGTTTTCCACAGTGGCTGTACCAATTTACATTCCCACCAGCAGTGCACAAGGGTCTCCTTTCCCCACATCCTCACTAACACTTATTTCTTGTCTTTTTTATAATATACATCCTAACAAGTATTAGGTGATATCTCTCTGTGGTTTTGATTTGCATTTCCCTGTTGATTAGAGATGTGGAGCATCTTTTCATGTGCCTGTTGGCCATCTGTATGTCTTCTTTGCAAAAATATCTATTCAGATCTTCTGATCTTCTGCCCATTTACTAACTGGATTGTTTAGTGTTTTTGCTATTGAGTTGTATGAGTTCTTTATATATTCTGGATATTAGCCCCTTATCAGAGACATGATTTGCAAATATTTTCTCCCATTAAGTAGGTTGCCTTTTCATTTGATTGATGGTTTCCTTTGCTATTCAGAAGCTTTTAAGTATGATGTAACCCACAATTTATTTTTGGTTTTGGTGTCCAGTTCAAAAAATTATCACCAAGACCTCTGTCAAGGAGCTTATTGCCTATGTTTTTGTTAAGCAGTTTTATGTTTTCAGGTCTTAGGTTCAAGTCTTTAATCCATTTTGAGTTAACTTTGTATATGGTGGAAGACAGTGGTAAAGAGTAATGCTTTTGATATGGCTGTCCAGTTTTCTTCACACCATTTATTAAAGAAGCTGTCTTTTCTGCACTATATATTCTTGGGTCCTTTATTACATATTAATTGGCTACATATGTGTGGACTTGTTTCTGGGCTCTCTATTCTGTTTCAGTATCTTTTTGCTTTTATGCTATTACTATATTGTTTTAATTACTATAGCTTTGTAATATAGTTTTGTATCAGGGAGAGTGATACATCCAGCTTTGCATTTCATGCTCAAGGCTGCTTCAGCTATTTGGACTTTTTTGGTAGCTCCATACAAATTTTAAGATTATTTGTTCTATTTATTTGAAAAATGCCATTGGAAATTTGATAGGGATTATACTGAATCTATAGATTGCTTTATGTAGTATGGACATTTTAACAATATTAATTCTCCCATGCCATGAGCACAAAAATAAGTGTTAGTGAGGATGTAGAGAAAAGGAACTCTTGTTCCCTATTGGTGAAATGTAAATTGGTACAGCCACTGTGGAAGACAGTATGGAGGTTCCTTTCTATTTACCTGTCTCCTTCAATTCCTTTCATTAATGTTTTATAGTTTTATATATGCAGGTATTTTACCTCCTTGGTTAAAATTAATCCTAGGCATTTCACTTTTTGATGCCATTTTAATTGGGATTGTGTTATTCCTCTTTCTGCTAGTTCCTTATTAGTCTATGAAAACAGAACAGATTTTTGTGCATTGATTTTGTATCCAGCATCTTTACTGAATTTTTTAATTAGTTCTAACAGGTTTTTGATAGAATCTTTAGGGTTTTCTGCACATGTCAACTGCAAATAATGATGATTTCACTTCTTCCTTTCCAGTTTGGATGCCTTTTATTTCTTTTTCTTAACCAGTTGCTCTGGCTAGGACTTCTAATACTACATTGAACAGAATTGGCAAGTATAGGCATCCCTGTCTTGTTCCTGATCTTAGAGGGAAGGCTTTCTGATTTTCATCATTGAGTATATAATGTTAGCTGTGGGCTCCACATAGATGACTTTTATTATGTTGAGGTACATTCTTTCAGTTCTCACTTTGTTGAGAGTTTTTATCATAAATGGATGTTGAATTTTTTCAAATGCTTCATCTACATCTTTTGACATGATTATATGATTTTTATCCTTTTTGTTGAAGTGGTATATCACATTGGCTGATTTAGGGATGTTGATCTGTAAGAAATCCCACTTCATCATTGTGTATGATGCTGTTAATGTACTGTTGAATTTGGCTTGCTGTTATTTTGTTGAGGATTTGTTCACCTATGCTCATCAGAGATATTTGGTCTGTAATTTTCTTTTCTTTTCTTTTGGCATCCTTGTCTGGTTTTGAAATTAGGGTAATGCTGTGTGATAAAATGAGTTTGAGAGAGTTCCCTCCTCTTCAATTTTATGAAAGAATTTGAGGATAGGTATTAATTCTTTCTTAAATGTTTGGTAGAATTCACCAGTGAAGCCATCTGATCCTGGACTTTTGCTTGTTAGACGGTTTTTGATACTGATACAACTCCATATTATTAATCTGTCTGTTCAGGTTTTCTATTCCATCATAACTCAGTATTGGTAGGTTGTATGTTTCTAGGAATTTATCCACTTCTTGTAGGTTGTCCAATTTAATTGCATATAACCGTTCATAGTAATCTCTTTGATCCTTTGTATTTCTATGATCAGCTTAACATCTCCTTCATTTCTGTTATTTGAGTCCTCTTTTTTCTTGGTGAGTCTAGCTAAAGATTTAAGTTTGCTTTATCTTTTCAAAGAACCAGCTCTTAGTTTCACTGATCTTATCTATTTTCTTTTTAGTCTCTATTTTATTTATTTCTGCTCAAACTTCTGTTATTTCCTTCCTTGTACTAATTTTGGGTTCTGTTTGTTCTTTTTTCTAGTTCCTTGAGTGGTAAAGTTAGATTGTTTACTTGGAACTTTTCTTGCTTCCTGAGGTAGGCATTTATCATTATAAGCTTCCTTCTTCTTTTCACTGCATCCCATAAATTCTGATATTATCTTTCTATTTTCATTTGTCTCAAGGTATTTTTTGATTTGTCTTTGGATTTTTTCTTTGATCCCTTGGTTGTTCAGTAGAATGTTGTTTAACCTTAATATATTTGTAAATTCTCATTTTCTTTGCATAATTAAATTTTAGTTTCATACCACTGTGGTCAGAAAATATACTTGATATGACTTCAATCTTCTAAAATGTATTAAGAGCTGTTTTAACATATGATCTATTCTGGGAAATTTCCATGTACACTTGAGAAGAGCATGTATTCTGTTGCTTTGGGATGGATTATATCCATTTGTATATATCTGCAAAGTCCATCTGGCCTGACATGTCATTTAGGGCCAATGTTTCCTTCTTGATTTTCTGTCTGGATAATCCATCAATGTATGGATTATAATCCATCTATCCATTAATGTAAGTGACATATTAAACTCCACTACTATGATTGCTATCTGTTTCTTCCTTCAGGTTTGCTAATATCTGCATTATATATTTAGTTGCTCCTATGTTGCTCCTGTATTTATAAATTTTATATCCACTTGTTGGATTAAGCCCTTTATCATTATTTAACACTCTTATTTGCCTCTTATTAGAGTCTTTATTTTAAAGTTTATTTTGTCTGATATAAGTATAGTCACATCAGCTTTATTTTGGTTTCTATTTGTATGGAACATCTCTTTCTGTTGCTTCACTTTCAGTCTGTGTGTCCTTACATCTAAAATTGGTGTCTTGTAGGCAGGATACAAATGGGTCTTGT